TTATATTATTATAATATCTCTTTAAACAGAGAGAGATAGACAGAGAAACATGCGCACGCCGCACAGCTTACAATAGCTTACTATAGCAAAAAGTGTCGTTACAACTTATCGTGAGAATTTTTTCCGTCTAGCCCCCTTTCACAACGCGCGATAAGCAACTTCGTTCCAAAAAAAATATTTTTGGTTCTTATTTTAGAGAAAATTGTATTTTATTACACAAAAATTATTAATTTGAAAACAACTAAGAAAAATGCTGGAAGTAATTTTAAACAGTGTAACGGAACGACGTAACTACGGCAGAGATGCCAACTATGAGTTTTTTCTTCCTAAATTTAGAAAGAAAAATTTACAATAGAAATTTTTTAGGAATCTTTTTAGGAATAAAATTTTATTCACATTTTTTAAATAAAAATTACACAATTTTAAACACAAAATATAATGTAATAGTATAGGCAGCATTGGCCTATGTATTATTTTAAATTCTTATTGTGAATATACGAATATACTCTAGAATAATAATGTACTCTTTGCTGTCAATCAAGAAATACAGTACGACTGAATACGTCCATGCGTCCAACCAAAGTAGTGGTTGATTGGACTCGACTAGGACTGTTGATAAAATATCGATGTAATTATTTGGAAATATCGATATTTATTACTAATATTTTTTTGGGTGATATGTCGACATTTCGATGTTGAAATGTGTATATCGATGGTCAACATTTTTTTTAATTACTTTTTACTTTTAATTATTTTTCGCAAATTATTTAATCTATAAAATCATCGTTAACTTAATTTACTGGACTTCATTTAACTATATTATCTTTTTTCTCTATTCTAGTTTATTTACTTATTTAAAACGAAATGTAATTTTGTATACATATATTTTAATACTACCTCTGTAGTATAAAAATTACCATAATCTATCAAGATTATGGTAATGGAGTACCTATTTTTCATAAAGTTATTGTTTGTTGTCACCTTAATATAATCTCCTATTATTTACCTCTATTTAGTCTGTGGTTAATACTGAGCGAAGTTAAAAAGGGAGGGTATGAAAAATTAATGTTTTATGCAGCGGTAAAAGATAAAACAAAGAGTATTTTTAAAAACTCTTACTGAAAAATATTGGTACACGTCATGATTGTTTTATTTAAATTAAACTACTAAAAACTATGACCTAACACTTTTATATATTTTTAATTTAATTTGCTTAATAACGCCGATTTTATATATCGAAATATAGATATTTTTTTTCGATATATCAAACTCCGATATTGATATTTAAAAAAATATCAATAGTCCTAGACTCGAGTACTCAAAAAAACGAGTTCGGTGGACTCAAATGAATTTGTCAAACTCATTCGAAACTAGTATTGAATTAACTAATACTGAAATTACATTTGATACTAGTCCGTTAGCACTCGAGTCAGCGAGTCAACTTGGTGCATCGAGTAGACTTAAAGTTTAGCTAGTGATGTAAGAGTCGAGTTATTTGATGTCTCGGGTTCAGTTTTTAAGCAACTCGAATAAACTCTGTCGACCGAACGCAAGCCGGATGTTATGCACGGGGGCCTCACAATGCATGATGGTTAATCGAGTTGATGATTTAAACACGCGGCTCGCGCTCGGCGTTCGTACAGTAATCGTGAAGGGCTTGGTGTCGCAGACAGCGGTTCTAACCAAGGAAGCGAAACGATTATTCCGTATACTTATCTAAAAATGTCAACATAGGCCTCAGGGAGTCCTTTCGATCGCAATGCCCACCAGGTACATTGACGAAGCATACAGTCAAAGGCCTTCTGCAGGTTCAGGAATGCTAGATGCAGAGCTCTGCTTTTCTTGTATGCCTCCATCAAAGTTCTGAAAGCAAAAATGCCATCCATGTTGCCAGATCCCGGCCAAAATCCATATTGACACATTTCCAGTGTTCAAGATACAGTTAAAGAGATCAGTAAGCGCGTCCACACTAAGTGAGCCCAACGATTTCCTCGCTTCGATCGTTATGTCGTCAGGCCTCCCAGCTTTCCGGTTATTCATGCAGTGAAGACATTCCCGAGCTTCGTCAGGTGATATCGGGGCAATAAGTCGCGGGTTCGGTGGCTGTTTAGATGGAAGTCTATGCGGATGGTGATTGTTTAGTAGCTCCAGAAAATAAATTCTCCATCTATCCTTCACAGAGGCATGGTGGTACACCAAGATGCCTGGTGATCCCTAACGCAAAGACATTTTGAGATAACTTGCGTGGCTTTATCCCGGGCACATTGTATATGAACTTGTACCTACATCGGTGATAACCTTTCGCTGCGGGCTTTGGTTATAGGTCTTTTGCTGCAACGTTTGACTGCTATGTACTGCCCTTAGGATGCCACTCCATTTATTGCCACTGCCTAAACGCAGCCTTCTTTTCCTGAATGTCCGAACTCCCTTAGAAGTCGCTTTCCTGCCAAGATTATTGCCGTCTGGGCTCGATCTTAAGCCTTCTGGACAGTTAGCTAGTCAAGAGATTTTTACTTTCAATCTCTGCCAAGAAGTCCTTCTGCATGGTCCATTCAGCAATCACCATTTGATTCTTGGCTTATGTTTCTTACCTATTTTCTTTTTCGGGTAAATAAATAGTCTATGACAAGGAGACCTTGCCTATATGGCACCGTCTAGTCAGTAGATAGTCCATTTGAGTTCAGTAGGACCCGCTCTTATACGTGATAAGGCGCTGATCTTTCTGTCGGAAGAAAGTGTTCACGACGGCCAAATCACATACAATACAGAATCTGAGAATGTTATCGCCATCTGCATTGTGACGACCTTATGGTCTATCCAAAATCACCATGGACATGTTCATTTCACTCAGCTTCCTTACCATCGTGACTGTTTAGATCCCATCAAAGTCTATCGCTTCGGTAGTCGATATAGACTGAACTGTAGGAAGTCTACAGTTCAGTCACGCTACAGCTCGCCTGGGGGTTATAGGGACTGACGAGGTTGGTTGTAATATTACATTTACCCTCATCATCCTATCGCATCGACGTTAAGCTTCAAGAAAACCTTTCTGAGAGTACTATCGTTTTACCGTTCGTACCACACCGTTTTTCCCGAATGAGACCCAGTGTATACAAGCTGGTCACTCTGTCCGATGTTATGGGACTTATTGCCCTTCCAGCGAGTTTCCTAAAGGAATGCACACTAGACCCATCGTCTCATGAGTACATCAATTCTTTTCTTGTCCATCAGAGATGGCGGTGATTAATTTTACATAGAACGATTGCCATCTGATCTTTCCAACCCTTAGAAGGGAAACCAGGATAGGAAATAGAGCAAGGGGGTAGCAGGGGAGAGGAAGGCGCAGGAAAAAGGAATCAAATTTCGAGGACTAATACATGATATTTTATATAAAATCATTTTGTTTCACTACTTCTCTTTTGGTTCTTTCGCACCTTATTGTTTTCTCTATTTATTTGTCGTTCGATTGTAGTTGTCGTTTCTACAGCGTGTCGTTACAACCGCGACAATAAATGAACACATATATAGAGTTTAACTTTTTTAAATTATATTTAACATTTACATTCTTTAAACATCAATATTTACCGAGTTATTAAATTTTCCAAAAAAAATAATTTTAGAACACCCTTACGTATAAAACTGTAACGTAAAGTTCATTTGTAAAGGTCGCAAAGCATATTAAAGGTAGCAAGGGTTGAATGAATTTAAAAGAGATAAAACATACTGTTAGAAGGAGAGATTTGTAATGCGACGCTTTGGCCACGAATGAAAAAGTCTCTGAATGTATGTATCAGTCAGTTGTAGTTGTGTAGGATGTTACAAATTTTGTTTAAAGCTATTACATAGCTTTTGTCGCGGGCTTTCAGCGCGGCGAACGAATTAAGAAATTCCGTAATATTATATTATCATATGATAATATGATATTTGGAGGATATCAAGTCTAAAACTTATGTTTCTTATTTCAGTTACCATAAACCTATAGTTTCAATGATAAAAATTCCTGAATAACCTACATGTATTATAACATATTAAAATTATTTTAAACGATATTAACTTCTCATTTAAAAAAAAAAAAGAAAACAAAAAATGTTTTCTTATCACTTATCACGATCAAAAAGTGTAACTTGAATTAATATCAAAGAAAAAACTTGAAGTAATATCCAATAAAAAAATACACCATAAATAAAAAAAAATAATTATAATTGCATAAGTTGATAAAAAATGCTATGCAATAACTTTACCGCGGCAGTCCCCGAGTGCCACAGGTTTTCTTTTTAATTTAATTAGTTTGTTTGAAAAATGTTTTTTTTATTATGGATTTTTTTTACATTTATATTTTTTATGATTATTGCCAAGTAGCGTTAGACATGTGTTCATTTATTGTCGCGGTCGCGAAGGTTTTGAGAGGATCTTTGATTTTTCATAACTGATTGGGTCGGAAAGACCCGCGGATCTTTTCCTCTAAAGCTGCCAAAGCCTCCACGCTGAAACCATACTACTGTTAAAAAATATTTTTGTAATTTTTTAAGTTTGCAAAATTAATGTACCGTAGTGAACAGTAGGGCTTGCGTGATATTTAAACACGGATTGAGTGTACCAATAATATTACGATTTTTTCTCACTTATGCAATATTGATACTTGTAACTGGCAAAATATTAGTATTTTATTATGCAGGAATGTGAATAAATATATAAAATTTAATTAAAAAATAAAATAAAAAATGTAATATATTTAATGTAGAAAAACACTATACCTGAAAATTGTGAACAAAATTGACTCTCCAGCTCCACGGTACATTGCTTAGAAAAACCTTGTTCTATTCTACCTATAGTTTCTACTTTATCTATGATTTCGATTCGTATTTGTACTTACTTCTCTGTCTGTCAAATAGCGATTTAAAATCCAAACTATACGTTATGGTTGTCAGATTAATGGCCATTAATTAGGAAATTAGGTCGACGTTATTTTTGAAATGAGTATGAAAAAGGATGGCTTGTACATGGACTGTAGATCTACGCCTCCAACTAAAACCAAAAAAGTGCGTAATCCTTTCGACAAAGCTTTAATTGACAGGTTGCACAAACCGATTTGTAGGTGAGTTGCTATATTTATTTAATAATCAGTGTAATTTTTTGCCTTAATGTCATTTTTTAATAAACTTTATATTTTTATTAAATATTTAGCCCTGGTATGTGTAAAATGTACAAAAAGGATAAGAGCGGAGGCTTTAGATGGGACATAGATCAAGCATGTACTTTAGTACCAGCTGATATTGTTGCATGCAACAGTCAATTTGAGCCTTCACCTGATCCCATGTTGGAGAAGATTGCCGAGGAAGCTACAGATAGGTAAATGTGTCCAGTACATTATTTGTTAGTGGGCTTCTTGCTAAAACTAACATGTAGCATTAGTTTCACTTGTGAATACTTGTGATTTTAGATTTTTCTCTCAAGAAATGGTAATGCCGAGCCCCCTAGAATCATCTAAAAAAGTTAAACCAATATTGCAAGAATTAATTCACACTAGTGTTCAAGTAACCACTATAAAAAAAGAAAGTGTTATTAAAAAGGATGGTAAGTTCATTACAACACTAACATTTTAACATTTTACGATTTTAATTTTGTTTATAGTTCATAGTTATTTTAGTTTCAGCTCAAACAGTGTTAACTTTACCACCAACTTTACCTCCTGCAATCGAAAATGTTTTGCAAGAGTTCTGTACTTTTACACAGGTAATTAGTTCAATTGATAGTAGTCAGTTTATCTTATAATATTTTGTGTTATTATTTGCTTTGTTTTCTAGGATCAAAATATTTCAGGTGATTATGAGATTACAGCAAATGGATCACTGAGAAGAAAGCTGTTCTTTGAAGAACATAGTGACATAGAACACTATGATTCTGAACAAACCGATGATGAAGTACATATAGAAGCTTGTCCACCTTCAAGTTATGAAGCTCACTCTCCAATTGTCATCAGTCCAGATTTGGTGAGAAAGTTTTATAAACATGAAATTATCATTAATCTGAAGTCCCCAATGCCCCTATACCCTCTATACAGAGGTCTTTTCCCAGCAGTGGGAAAACATATATTGACTGTTTTTTATTTTATTTTTATTTAACTTTTATCTTGACTACTCTATTAAATAATATATAGTAAATAATTTGAAACTTATAGGATCACATGTATGTCTGTTCATCCATTTATAAAACTTAATTGAATTAAATAAGTTTATACTAATTATTGTGGTTTTGATTTATTTGGTGAAAAAAATTAGAATAATATCTACATTATTTAAGACACAATGTAAATATTTAAAGTACTTAAAGAAGAGTTTCACTTTAAATTATTAACAAAAATGATCCTCATATATAGAAAAAGATCAGTGATTTATTTTTGTTTGCATTAAATTTTTAACAGAATTTTGTTAAGTGATTTTTGACCTCCCACTAGATGGAGTGACGACCTGTGCAAGTGTGCAGGAAGTCGATGGATGCAAGTGGCTCAGGATCATGCCTCTGTGGAGTCTGTGGGGAGGCCTATGTTCAGCAGTGGACTCAAACCAGCTGAAATGATGATGATGATGATGATGATTATTGAATAAATTTGCTTAGTGCTGAAAATATTAGAAGATTGCAGAGATTAACATTGCATGATTTTAATAAAGCAGATTTCATTGATATTGTATATAGATACTGTATTGTATCCAAAACATTGAGAATCTTAAAAAAAATCAAATCTTTTGATACTAACAGTTACTTTAGCGTTTATCTTTTTTAAATTTATTATAATATTCACCAAAACTTTTATGTTAATACCAAGCCCAAAATATTATTAAATTCTTTGAACTTATAAATCTTTATTTTTTAGAGTCGTGACTTAGTCACAAAGGGCTTAAAAAGGACATTTGGAACACCACTTAATAAAAGTACTGCTAGCAATTCTAAGCCCACTTATCGAAATAAAATGCTAGATGTTGTGGACTTTGGTGAACCTTGCTTCAGTCCTATTGAGTTTCGGACACCTAAGCGTATTGACCAGGAATCCGCTACATCATCATCCCTTGCTTCTGCATCAATATCACCTGTGAACAAAGTATCTAGTGATGAAGAGGTATTATGTTTATTCTTGTTCTCTTGCCCTCAAAGTCAAAATTGTCATAAATAAAATCCTATAAGGATATCTTCCTTTAATTAACAGTACCTGGCGGACCTTTGCGGTTTTCTTTTTGGTAAGTCATGTTTTGTAGAAATAAAAAATATAAAAAATAAAGAAAATGATCAGGTATAGAAAAAAAAAAGTAAAAAAAATAAGTTTGTAAATGATCATGATACGAACCGCGGCCGTCTGTTTTGGGGCTGCCCGATTACCGACCGAGCTATTATAACTGTACTACATACTGTATATACTGTCATATTTGAATGATATAGATGATGATGATGATGATGATGATGATGATGATGATGATGATGATGATGATGATGATGATGATGATGATG